TGTTAGTTCTTTTTAGCTGTTTTCTTAACCCTTTTTCAATATTACAGAAACGCAAGATAATAGTGAGGTCACAGATGTGTCGTCTTTTCGTCAATACACACTCGAACAGCTTAAGATCGCCACCTCTGGTTTCGCTTTGGAGAATGTTGTATCTGAAGATGGACAAACAGCTCCAAATGTTGTCTATCAAGGGAAATTAAAGAATCATCAGAAGATTGCTATCAAGCGCTTTTCTCGAATGGCCTGGCCTGATCCACAACAATTCCTGGTATGATAATTGATATGTATGTTTCAGCGTATCTAATGCCAGTTCTCGTCTCTCTTTAACTTTGGATTTGTCCGTTTCCAGGAAGAAGCAAGCTCGGTTGGTCAGTTACGCAGCAAAAGACTGGCCAATTTACTTGGTTGTTGCTGTGAAGGCGGCGAGAGATTACTTGTCGCCGAGTTTATGCCTAATGAGACACTAGCCAAGCACCTTTTCCACTGTAAAAAAAAAAAAAAAGCCTTTGATCAATAATCTTTTGATGCTCTTCTTTCTTAGTATTTCCTTACCACTTTAATTACGAATCAGGGGAAACACAGCCGATGAAATGGGCGATGCGACTGAGAGTTGTTTTATACCTTTCAGAAGCTCTCGAATATTGTAGTAACAAAGGACGCACACTGTATCATGATCTCAATGCGTACAGAGTTTTATTTGACCAAGTAAATTCCATAAACTAAGCTCTTCTCTGAGAAACCATTTCTGTTTCATGCTCTTCCTTCATTGACTCTGCTGTGGCCATTTTAAGGAATGCAATCCAAGACTTTCAACGTTCGGCTTGATGAAGAATAGCCAGGATGGGAAGAGTTACAGCACAAATCTTGCTTTTACCCCTCCCGAGTATCTACGAACTGGTAAAATGATTTGCCCCCTCCTTGTAGGTTATATTTTCCCAGTATTGAGATTAATTGCGTGTTGCTACAGGGAGAATCACGGCAGAGAGTGTGATTTACAGCTTTGGTACTCTTCTGCTTGATCTTCTCACTGGAAAGCATATTCCTCCTAGCCATGTAAGTGTCCATGATAGCTGCTATTATTGTTTATTGGATTCTCTTTACAAAATATCTCAGCCTGTTATTGTGTGTTTAGGCCCTTGATTTGATTCGAGATAGAAATCTTCAGACTCTAACCGATTCATGCTTGGAGGGACAATTATCCGACAGTGATGGCACGGAGTTAGTACGCCTGGCATCTCGTTGTCTTCAGTACGAAGCTAGTGAGCGACCAAACATAAAATCTTTGGTCACTGCACTAATCTCTCTCCAGAAAGACACAGAGTTTCCATCTCATGTTCTAATGGGTATGCCTCAAAGTGGTACTCGTGTGTCACCTTTGTCTCCTTTTGGTGAGGCTTGTTCGAGAAAAGACCTGACCGCGATGCTTGAATTCTTGGATAAAATTGGATACAAAGATGATGAAGACGTAAGTCGACAGGTTTTACATTTATAATTCACTTAGAAGTTAGAACCCTTATGGTTCCCATCCAGTGAAGGCTTCTTCATGTTTTATTTGGCATGATTAAATGCAGCTTTCGTTTTTCTGGACGTACCAGATGCATGAGGCTATAAACTCGAAGAAAAAAGGTGATATTGCATTTAGGCGGAAAGACTTCAATGAAGCCATTGAGTTTTACACGCAGGTCTGTCTTTTTCACATTTGAATCCGTATCAAGACCTTCATCCTTAGTTGACGATGTCCTCGTATATAAATTTTGGCCCAGTTTCTTGATTTGGGAATGATCTCTGCAACAGTCTTTGTGCGGCGCAGTCTAAGTTACCTAATGAGTAACATGGCGAAAGAAGCTTTAGACGATGCAATGAAGGCTCAAGGCATTTCTCCTGTGTGGCATGTTGCATTGTATCTCCAGTCTGTTGCTCTAGCTGTCCTGGGGATGGAGAAGGAATCCCAAATCGCACTTATCGAAGGATCCAAACTTGAAGCCAAAAAGATCTCTGCTTCCACACAGAACTAGAGACTTTACTTCTTTTGCGTTTTGGTAAAAGATGAAGAAGCTTTGATTCCTTGAACGGAAACAAGCTAAAGGTAATCCATTGTTTCACATTTGATACATAAGAGCGTTTAGATGCTAAACATTGTACTAATTAAACCTTCATTGTAGAAGCTAATCCATTGTTTCATTTGATACACAAGAGCGTAATACGAAAGTGTACATTAGCTAACTTCCATTCACAGATGCAGAAAGCGAAACACACCTCATAAGGTGTTGTGCAACTCAACCTCTGCCTCCATTGGAGTAATTGGGTGAGAGCTTCTGTATTCTTCCTTTGACATTCCACAGTAAACAGCTTCTTTGCCTCCATGGGTTACGAAGTTCCAGCCAAACGCAGACCCTCCGACCACAGTGTCGCCATCTCCATTAGAGTTCTGCTTCTCAGTTTGGACATAGCTTGTCTCCGATGATCTCAGTCCAGTAGTAGTACTCTGAGATGTTTGATCAATCGCTTTTCCGTTGGATAAGGACTCAGTTTTAGCTGTCTTCTCACGTTTGTTGGGTGATTCTCCAATCATCTCTCTGTACAGTTCAAGCATAAGCTTCATCTCTGCAAACAGCATAATTTCAACTCAGAATCAAGAAAAGTTGGGACTTAGTGTTGTTGTTGAGCTCACTTATAATTGGGATTAACGCAAAAGAAAAGAGTGTATGAGCTTACTCTCTTGAATCTCTATTGCTGCATTACACTTCCTGAAGTCTGGAGTTCGTAATACCTGTAGCAGAAATCTCAGTCGAGGTTATGTTTAATCTTCATCAACGGACCTCGATTTTCGCACAAATGCATCTAAATTAGAGTACCTCGACAACGTGAGGACGAAGATCTTTAAGAAGGAGACGCATCTTGTAGTAGTTGGAGTTCTCGATCTTCAGATTCCCTTCTAGCGGTCGCTTTCTTCCCCTAGAAGACGGATCCGTCGTAGCTCCCGACGGAGGCGCAGGCACCTGAGCTGGCTGAGCCGCGGCTGCCGGTGTCGGAAACGTTTGTCCTTGAACCGCGGCTTCCGGATTAAACGCCGGCGATTTATCCAAGTCCATTGCGACCGAAGGTAACTCAGCTGCGACCATCGCCGGCGAAGATCTCTGATCTGAGGCTACAGGAGGCGGAAGATCTTGCGCTGGAAGAGAAGAAGTAGCAGAAGAAGGAGGAGGTTGTTCAGCGATTTGAGTCGCCGTGAAGGTCGATTTCTCCATTTTCAAAGTTTTCTGCAACCGCTCAAAGATTCTCAACCTCCGAGCTAACAGGAGCACGGAACGAAGCAGACGGGGGAGATCTTAAAAACGACGTCGTGAAGAATTTCTGAATTGTTTGGGCCTCTTTGGGCCCATATTCGATAGGTACCGCAACGGCACGAATTCTTAGATTGAATACTCTGTGTCGTTTGCTTGGGAGAACACGTCTAACATTGCCTTTTTAAAACAGTAAAACGGCTCGCAGTTTTCTCGAAACAACCACAATTTTTCCTTTGCAGCATTTCCGTTTCTTCTAGCTCATTCTTCGTCAAGGTCCCAGCTTCCGAGATGAATCCACAAGTCGACAAGGTTGTGAGAAGAACGACTATGGTGGCGACTGCTGTTGCTTCCTACTTCCTTTTAACCGCCGATTACGGTCCCGAGCCAAACGTTCTTGATCCTGTGAGTTCCGATTTCGAATTCTGTGTCTTCTCTTAGAATCTGTTTGTTTTTTCGTGAAATTTTGGAAGTTTCTGAATCGAAGTCGCTCGTTTTGTGTTTGATTCCATGGTCTCTGTTTCCCTTAAGCGCACAAATATCATCGAGTGGAGATTTACAGGATGTTGTAGATTGATGACCGAATCGCAGATAGTTGCTGCTGATTTATCTCTCCGTATCCTCGACTAGGGTTTTATAGAGTTGCAATCAGTAAGTAGGGTTGGTATTGCTATTCGGCTAGATCTTTTGGTAGTTGCTACTTGCACTTGATAGTGTTGAAATTTGATCCTCCATGATTAACGCACGTTTGACCCATTGGATGTGTACTTGTCTGTTTCTTAGACAAGTTTTGGATGAGATCTGAAAATCCAAAAAGGAAGCAGGTCTCTATGAATAAATTCAAATGGATCTTCACACAACTGTTGAGTTCTGTCATCAGCCTTGTTAGAATCTGTTGTTGAGCAGTCTTCAATGAATGACTAGTGACTGCTTTCATTGCTCATTGTGTTTTTCATCTGTTACCATTAATGTTAAGTCCTGAAAATGTTTATCTTGTCTTGAACAGCTGATCAATTTGATTATGGTTCTTACCTTTGAAATTTTATCCTCCATGATGAACACACATTTGACCCATTCGTTGAATTTCTTAGACAAGTTTTGGATGAGATCTGAAAGCTCCAAAAAGTAAGCAGATCTCTATAAAACGGTTTCTTATCAAAGTCAAATGGATCTTCACACAATACTTTAGAATTCTATAATCAGCTTTGTTTTCTTTGTAAAATTATGTTGTTGAGTCTTCAGTGAATGATTAGTGACTGCTCTCATTGCTCATTGTGTTTATCTGTTACGGTCAATGTTAAGAGTCCTGAAAAATGCTTATTTGCTCTTGAACAACTGGTCAGTTTGCTTATGGTTCTTACCTTGATGACACTGCCAAATCACCAGTCTTCTTCTGACACTTATGCAACCATCTGAGTCTACGATTTTTACTTATAGATGACACTCTTCTATTTTTGCAGATCAAACAGAAGATCATATTAGCGCAAGATTCTGTGAAAGAGTACTTCTTTCCATCAAAGAACAAGTAACAACACATCAACAAGCGAGAACAGAAAGTAAAGATGTAGCTGAACATGATTGGCCACTTTCAGTTTGTTCATTGTCTCGGTTTATGGCTAATAGAGAAGTTACTGTACTTTCTTTCTCTAGTGTGCTTTAGCCTTTTAGTAGTCTCCAGTTTCAACCATACTCTTTAGACTAAAATATGTTCATAATAACAAAGTCAGATCATCTGTGGATTACCTTTCTCTAAATCAAAAACCAATTCGAAGAAACAGACAACCTAATCAGTTGGCTTTCGGCTTTATGAATGTTGGAATATCTCTTTAATTGTCGTATTATCTCTTTACATATTACCTCTATACTAAAATATTCACTAGTAAAAATATTGATCAACTATAGAGCCTCATCAACTAATCATAAGATTCATAAGCATAAAACTATTTAATTGATGGCGGCCGAAATATAAGTATTCGAAACTTTTATGCCCATTAAAGCGGAAACAAAAGACAAGTGGATTTTTGTACCAAACAGCAATACACTGACACATCACAGAACCAACGAGCACCGTCCGATTAGAGATTACCCGAAAATCTGACGGTCTATAGAATAAACGAACAAACACTGAAACATATATAATAAATAAACCTAAATGGCGGCTCCGCCGAATCGGCACACTCATTGACCACAAACGAGTCTCGTGTTACCATAAAACGCAAAAACTAGCGTTTGCGTTAAGCGGTTCCTAATACGGTTTCTGCATGTACATGAACATATCCTGTAGCGGAAACATCTGATTACTCCCTCCTCCAAACGCGTTGTTATCCACAGTAGCATCTAAGTAATTAAAGCCAAAATCAAGGGTATAATTGTCATTAGCAGTAACAGCCGACGACCAATCCTTCCACTTGGGCTCGCTCTGAACCTCGCTCGTGAACTCCGGCGACACCACATGATCCGAGCAACTCGACTCCGTCGTATGCAGCTTCGGCACCGAATCTGAATTGTCGAAATACAAGAAATCACTCGCCGTCGCAGTCTGTTTCGGCGGCGGAGGCATACCCATCTCCATCAACCTCGGCTTCTCCTCCACGACCTCGTCGGCCACTCCGCCGTAAACCACCGGAGGAGGTGGTACTCGCTTCTCGATAGCTCCTTTTTTGTTGTAAATCCGGCAAAGAACCCAATCATCCAGCTGGCAAAATCAAAACCGTCGGATTAATTGAAAATATCACAATCCAACAAACCAAAGAAATGAAAATTAGATTCAATTCAATACCCTGAGGCTATTCTTCTTCTTGCGAATCGACCGGTCAACGTCGGCGAGACGGTACTCGTGCATAATCCAATTGGTTTTCTCTCCCTTTGGAGCTTTCCCGGCGTAAAAAACCAGAGCTTTCTTAATCCCGACCGGTTTAGGAAGTCCGATCGGTTTATCAGCTCCGGTCGCTTTCCAGTAACCAGAACCGGCCGACCGGTTTGGCCTTGAACCGTTTGGATATTTTCTGTCTCTGGGAGAGAAGAAATACCATTCCTTCTCACCATACAAAGCTAAACCTGTAATTTTCAGCCAAAATCGAATTAGTAAACCAGAAATCTCAGATTTATTATTAGATTCCAAAATCTAATAAGAGGAAGATTGGAGATTTTCAGTTACCGGGAAGCTCCCATGGATCGTATTTGTAGAGATCGATCTCAGCGATGATCGGAACAGCGATTGACTGCGATGCGCATTTCCGGCAGAGATAGTGCATGACGAGTTCTTCATCGGTTGGGTGAAATCGGAAACCTGGAGGCAACTGTAATTCTGACATTTTTACCCTTTATCTTCTCTATTTATTACCTAGAATTGCCACTATGAAGAGGAGGATTGAGATTTAGAGGGTTTGTTGGTAGAGATCCTAATCCTGATCCTCTAGCTCTGAAAGTTGGCGTTTGAAACTTGGAAAGAAAGAGAGAGGAGTCAAATATATAAGGGAGAGGGAAGGGACACGTGTCGAGATCTTGGACTTGTGTGTGTGTGGGGAGAAGGAGAAGGAGAGCTTCTAGAACACACGTGGGTGGATGACGCTGCCGAGACACGTTTCGAGAGGAGAAGTCATTAGCTGACGTGGCGATGAGGTGATGTTGTCACTGCTTACGTCTGTCGCCTTGAGGGCCCACTCACTTGGCGTAAAAATCCAAATCCGACCGGTCCGATATATACGACCGAGCCTGGGGTCTATCTCTATGTCTATCTTATGGATTCTTCGTTTCCGGTCGGTGGATCTGTGGTCCCACTTCCTCCGTAAATATCTTTTGTCTTTTTGCAAAAGGTTCACAATCACATCCTATCAAAATCATATCGGACGGTTTAAACAGTAAAGTTACCATAAAGTTTTTGTATTTCTTCTCTCTCCACTACGATTTTTATTACTATCATAACCTCTCTGTTTACCAGATATTTGATTAGTTGTTTAGATCAAACAGAGGATAATATCAGCCCAAGATTCAAGTTCATTTTTCAATCAGCGAAAAATCAAAAGTTCGACGCAGAACAAGATCAAACAGAGGTTATGGTACTATACTCTCTCTAAAACAAGAGATGTTCAAAATATTTAGTAAACAAGTCGTAATATTCAAATGAAGTAACCACACAGACAATCTTCACTTGATTTAAGTTTGCATACAAGCCATAGTCATACATTTATGGATTACCTTTCTTTGAGCTAAAGCCAAGAGACGGAGGAATAGAGACTGATCAGTATCAGTCAGTTACCTTTTCGCCTTGTGAAAGCTGGGTGTATAGTTCCATTCAAAGAATTGGAAATTTTTATGCTCTCTTTACACACTCGCATTCTCTTTACAACTAGAGGCATTGTGGCGACGTTTGCGCAAACTGCTTCCTTGAGTTGAACATATCTGTGTCGAGACTCTTGGTCTTCAGTTCCTAAATGTGKTCCAGCTCTTAACACAACAGCTTCTTCTGATTCTGCAAGTATCAAAACTTTCTTATAATCTTATGTAGTACATACAATGCTATGAAACTTTCTCTTAGTGTCTCTTAAATGGCCACTTGCTTATCTCATGGTATGTACATATCTTCACAAAAGACAATAAACAGCGATCGGCTAAACCTATCATCTTTAGCATCATCCCCCTCAAATCCATGCCACCCACCAATCTTCCAGATTATACACTATCGAATATTACAGCCAGACATGACATTCCCAAATAAAGCTACACGCACAATATTAACCTTCAATCTCCAGAAACAAGTATCGGTTTTGAATTATATGCAAAGAGAGTATCAAATGACGCAAGGCAATCAAAAGGAAAGTATGTTGCTAATCAACTTAATCGTCGCAACAATGACTCAGAAATCAATCTGGAATACCAAAATCTCAACATAATAATCGCAGAACTTGCTGTAATTTCTCTAATAGGCACTATACCCGTGAAACCAGAACACGAACAGTTTTTGATTGAAAAAAAACCCAGAAGTGGCTCTCGATCTTTTCCAATATCTCCAAAACAAAGACTAAGTTCAGGACTTGGTTCCTAACAGATATCTAATCGAAGTAAAGGAAGAAGCGGAAGGTCATACGTACCGGAATCGATGATGAATAAATCGAGTCTACGAGAAGAAATCGCAGAATCGAAAGTGTTCTTCAGATTATCCGCTAGGCTTTTCCTGTAATCGGAAACCTTGAGAGCCATATGCTTCACATCGGACTCCATTTTCTCCCGAACTTCTTCTTCTTCCGAATCGGAATCTGCAATAGCCATGAGAATCTAGGGCACCAGAAATTCCTCCAATTGGGAAAGGCCCTTGCGCACAGTACACTCAAAGAGAGTTTTCAAAAATTTTGGATCTCTGAGACAAAAGCGAAAACTGAAAATATAAACCGGCCAGTTAAGAAGGTAACCGACCGGTTCAATCAAGATAGGCCCGCGGGTGAAATGGGCCGTACGAACCTAAATTATTTTTGAAACTTTTAAAATTTTGCCACCGTCTTGTCATAATTAATGGTACTGGGGGATGTGAGTTTCTCGGT